ATTAAAAAAAAAAAGTGACTCTTTAAAAACACAAAACCTAATTTTCCTATTGTTATCAATAGGATCCTTTGTTGTAATCGGACCCTGGTCTTTGTATGAACTTGTTTGCAACTCTTTCTGGGCACTTCCTGTAATAATATTATACACGATATGCATAATTTCCATAATTCCATAAGAACATTTTGTTTATTTTAGGCGAAAATTTTGAAAAAAAAGTTTTTATTTTCGATTTCTGTAAAAATTCGTATTTAAGTGTTTTTTGAATTTCGAAAGAGGCCTAACGACTTTGTTTCTCCCTAAAATGCTTATCTATATAATAACTACAATACAATACTGTATTATCACCGTAATGTATACCACAAAACGCCCTTCTGGGCACCGCTGGATCGAATAGAAATTTAAGAAAGAAATTGTCCAGATACTAATCAAGAATAACATACAAACTGAATTAACGTATTATATAAAGGGTGTCCCGTAAGTAGATGGAAATATTTATAGAAGCGATAGCAGACCTGAAGAGCTACATAAAATTTTATATAAACCGTAGTTGGAGTTTCGGCTAAAAAACAAGAAATTCAAGTTTTGTGTTTTGTTAAGTATGCCACGTTTTATGTCGAATAGTAAGCGATAACTAAAGAAACATTTAAGTAACTAACAACTGCTGTTCCAGAAACTAGATAAAATTTACTTCAAATGAATGGAGAGTTTGTCATTGTTAAAACTATTTTAAGAGGACTTTTGTGCTGCTAAAGACATCTAAGTCCCGTTTAAAAAAAAAAGTCGTAAATTATTCACGTTTTTTTTTATCACCCTTCAACTGCTTTACGTTTACTGCACTTTTACAAATACTTCCTCGTTTAATTAGTTTTAAGTCCATATGAATTAAGTTGAGATTTATAAGGAAAAGCTTTGAGATTCACCTCAAAAATGACTACAATTAACTGTTGCTTTTATTTCTTGTTTCGCAGTGATATGGCAAAAAATATTTTAAACGGAAGCAGAGTTTGTCATTCTTAAAACTATTTAAAAAGGACTGTTGAACGGACAAACATAGCTTAAAGTTCCGTTTTAAAGTCATACATTATTTGTGATTTTTTACTCTCACTTACCTATATATGTAATATATAGTAAGGGTAAGTATTGCGATTGTGAACATTTTTGAATCTGAGTTTTCAACGGAAATACACGTTTTGATGTCCTCTGATTCTAAATAACCAAGTCCCGCAAAATGGTCTGTATGTGTATGTATGTCTGGGTGTTCACAGTCTAGCTCAAAAACGAAAAGTCGTACGAAAGTAAAATTACATATCTAAGGTTTTTATATGCTAGGGATGTTACAGCAACTTTTCCCTCAAAATCGGCTAACCGGAAGTGGCACTTAATATCATGAACTAAACACATTTTTATGATTTTCTCGATAACGGCTCTAACGATTTTGATTAAATTCATCATGTCAGTGTAGAATTAAGCAGTTTTAAATGAAATGTAGGTTTTATTCTGATTGATGTTCTCTAGCAGGACTTAAATGGCTAATTTTTAATATTAGCTTCCTCTAAAGTACCTTTATTTATTTTTATTTGAAACAACTGGCCATAGGTAAGTGAAAGTTATGTGATGCGCGCACCGCACCAGATTTTTTTTATTACTCTTCAACTGTACTACAGATACCCCACTTACTGAAAAACTTCCTCGTTAATTAAGCCTCAAGTCCATGTTAATTAAGTTGGGCTTTATTACGGAAAAACTTGAGATACACCTAAAGTTGTGTAAAAAAATTATGTTCTTTTTATACCCTGCCACATAAAAGTTCCCGTGTTTAGAGCGAAATTTATTACAATAAATTGCTGCAAAGCTTTGATGTCTTGCTTTTTTCACGATCTGGGATCATATTATATTAAACATAATTACCTAAATACACTTTAAATTTCTAAAAATAAAATAAAATATTGATTTTCAAATGTTTATCATCTAGCCTGTATAAAAATAAACATAACAATCTTAAGACTCTCCCACGTTAGTCTATTCGAGTGAGTATATTACCTCTTTTATTGTTTTATTATGTTCTTTCATTCTTACATCTTATTCATTTCCATCCATACTCCATTATTACTTTATACTTTTTAGCTTCCTTATATTTCCTTTTGATTTGTTTATATTTTCATTTCTTATCTTGTCATTTTAGCAATAAGATTGTTTTTATCGTTTTTTTTTTGTTTTTTTTTAAATATATTTGTTAATCAGTTTATAACTGAGTACTATTTACTTATTAGTTTATTTAAATTTCTTTTTTCTTCTATTCTTCTCTGTATTTATATCAACTCTATTTACTCCCACAATAGTTTCATCTATTTTATCCCTTCCTCTTTTATCCGTTTTGGGCATCTGTATTTGGAACAATATCTTGAAACAATTTTTTTTGTCGGAATTCTGATAGCATGTGATATATAGCTATAAAATGAAAATTACGTTCTACCAGATTTAGGTTACACAGGGAACATATTTGAATTTGACACTCGTTATAATTTTATAATTTAGGTTTAATAAGTACACCTTGCTTTACATATCCAACTTATGTCACTAATCCTTATTGTTTCAAATCAGTAAATCTTATTATATAAAATAATATTATATTATATATTATATAGAATTTTCTAGGTTTATTACTATATTTATGGTGTGAATGTACCCTTTGAACTCTATTATAATTGTCGTTAATTTAGAGACAGTTTGTAATATTTCTCAATATCGAGTTAAAAAAAAAAAGACTTTATTATTTTGAAAATTGACATTTCATTGATAAAAATATAAACATTGGTCCATATTACCTACGCGCCTCTTTTTATTGTAATCTGGTTTCTTTTGTTATTTATTACATAAACTATAAACGGGTTTTAGTAGAAAAGTTTTACAAAATATCATTCCATAATTTTTAATACAAATTTAAAATGAGTAAAATGTTAATATCATTAATGAATTTAAAAATTCTTCACGTATTATCGTCGAATTCAGATCAGAAATCGAGCAAAAGCAAAAAAAAAAAAAAAAAAAAAGATATGGGAGATTTATATCTGTATGACAGAACCTAATAAATAGCCAATAAATATTTTTTTAATTGTGGGTTAATGGTTGACTGTCCTGAATAATGAAGAGAAGAATAGTTGGGGTGATCAGTCAAATAAGAAGGCAAAAATAAATGATAACAGTTATTTTGACATTTGCCGATGTTTCGACCTGAAGTAGACAGCCCTGATGAAGGCCTGAACTTCAGGTCGAAACGTCGGCAAATGTCAAAATAAATATTATAATTTATTTTTGCCTTCTTATTAGTCAAATAATCAGTCAGATCACCCCAACTATTCTTCTCTTCATTTAAATATTTTTTTTATTTTACTGTAAATACGAATATTAGCAAATTTATTATTTTACCCAGTTGAACTTTATCCTGACAATTATTTGGGTTAAGTTAACTACATTAGAAAAAAATTCTGTTCTTCCATCCGTTATAGAAATAGAAATAGAAAAATCATCTTTATTCTGGGACTAGGTCCCTTTAGAATAACAGTATTGTTCATATATATTAACTATAAATCTGGTCAAAAGACTTATTACAATGAATAATAACAAAATACATGTAATACATTAAGTATTAATTAAGCTCTTAGGATTAATTAACGAGGACAGTTGGGTAATAGGGGTTCAGTACTACAATATTGGAGCTAAAATAATTGCATAATAATCACTGAATGATATTAGAAAGGAAAGGAAAATCTATTTTATAGGTAAAGCATTGTAGTGATGGAATATAAAAATTTAAAAAAATAATAATAACTGTTAATATGTAGGGAAAGAAATTGTAAAAACTAAAACAAAAAAATATATAAAAAAACAAATAATGATATACATATGTTCCCTAAGATATTTAAGTGATTATGCGTAAAGATTAGGAGAAGAGAAAATTATACCTAGGGTTCAATAAAAAACTGCCGTAAATCATCAAATTTATTTATGTAACTAAAAAAAAGATATTCCTGAAGTGGCTTTAATAGAGATTTAATCCAATCATTGTTAAAAAATGGATTGCTATTTGAATGAGAACAACCACTGTTTTTATAAAATGCAAAATCAGTACGCATTTGGTTTTTATAGATTGATGTTCTATTAGCTGTTTTTGTTTCCTAATGACGCCTGAATTGGCGAAACGTTGACGGGTTTTTCTTTGCCTGCATTTTGAAGACATAAGACTGCGTGGATTGGAATTTTCTATTAATAACCTAACATGTATATTTTGTCTCTTGATTATGTTGTTACTAATTTATATATATATATATATATATATATATATATATATATATATATATATTTTATCATATCATGTTTTATGTACTTTAATAACAGCAATTTACTTTTTATTTTATATATTATGTAGGTTTTTATTTGATTTTTTCTACTGTATAAAAAAGACTTCTATCTACTAAAAAGCAATCACGCTACTATTATAACATTTGTAAGATAATTGTAACTAAAGCATGTTATCATTATTATGACGTAATGTGTTGTATATATTATATATATGTGTGTGTGTGTGTGTAAATAAAATAATTTAAAAAAAAAATATGCATGGACCTTCTATATGGATAAAGCATTTGACCCAATCTGACGGGAAAATCGTTAAGACCAGAGTTTGGTAATGCTATAACTCATACAATAAACAATCTTAATATACTTATAGAACTTTAAATCAATAGAAAAGGTTCAACTTAATCTAACCAGACCGTACCAAGCCACCGATATGTTAGGGGGTGACTAACTCTATCGATTGAAGCACAAGACACTTGGGCGAGTTGGGTAACCCAGTGTAAGCAGCTCAGCGGCTAAAATCTACTTTCAAAAATTACTATTTACAGATGTATACTCTATTTGTAAGTTTTTATTTTTCTAGTTGAAAAACAATATTCCTAATAAAATAATAATGATAATAATTTATGTATTTTATGAATTAGGTTAGGAAGAGAGAGGAGAGGATATGAGGAGGAATAAGAGAAATGTATAAGTGGAAAGAAGGAAAAAGGAAGAGAAGTATAATGCTAATGAATGAATAAAAGAAATCGTCAAAAAATAAGAAGAAAAAAAATGAAAATAAATAATATAAATAAATATATATATTTATATATTAAAAAAATATTGTATAGTATGCTCATATATATTGTTATTACTGTATAATGATTAATAACTATGCTGTATGTTTGTAGCAACCCAATATAATTGGGCAGCACCCTTTTATGAAAATAAAGTGATTGATTCTCTATACAATTTTACATTTTCATAAAAGATAAATTTTCATATTTACTTAATAATTTAATACAGTTGTAAATTTCAATAAAAAATAAAATTACATCTCTAAAATAAAATATCTTTTAAAAATTTAATCCAGAGATAAATAAGATTAATTTGCAGGCGTTGATGACCTGCAAACAAACATTTCTAAAATCTCATAACAAAACATCGTGGCTTTGGTTATCATCCTGAGTCAGTTGCCGACCTTGAAATAGATTGATATTTACATACAATTATATATATATATATATATATAAGATAATAGTATAAGAATATAATAATATTTTAAGAGTATTTTCAGAGTATAATAATATTTTAAGAATATGGATTTTATTTCACTACATATATATATATTGTTAATTGTTATATATATATTGTTAATTCGCTATATATAAAGTATATATATAATAATAGTATTATATATATACTACATATATATATATATATATATATATATATATATATATATATATATATATATATATGTAGTATATATATAATACTATTATTATATATATACTTTATATATAGCGAATTAACAATATTTTATTAAAGCAGGAATGTTATTACCATTTAATTGCTCTACTGCTTCTTCCATAGCCAATACTTCTATATGGAAACATTTGTTCAGTAATTCGGATAGTCTGGGACGTACAGCTATAAAATGAAAATTATTTTCTTCCTAATTTAGATTACACAGGGAACATATTTGGATTTGACACTCGTTGTACATTTTATAATTTAGGTTTAATAAGTCCACCTTGCTTTAAATATCCAACTTACGTCACCAATCCTAATTGTTTTAAAAGAGTAAATCTTATTTCCGCTCTGCAGTAATTTTTTATAGACCAAAAATTTGGTTGGATTTTAACAAAAACTCTCACCATATGTTTTTTTCTGATCAGGGCTTGAAAAAACAGGGAAAGAAAAAAACTTTCATTTTTAAAAGTTTCGTTTTAATTTTATTGTCGATAGTTTTTTTTAGTTCTTTTGCAATTAGAATTTTTTCCCTTTCACCTTTTCAAGTAAAGGCTTTACAAACATTTTATTTAAAAGTTCGGTCGATTTTGCCGATAGTTTGACGTAACAAATGGCTTTTATTAATTGCTTCTCAAACAAACGACAGATTAGAATCATGTGTAATTCATTTAAGACTAATTATAACTCTAATCTTAGCCCAATGTTTATTTTTCATTCAACTGGACTGTTTTTAAGAACTTGAATAAATAAATGCAGGGGTCGAAGATATGAGTTAACTTTTAATTTTAAAAAATTTTAGGTTAAACTTATACTGTGTTTTTATGAAGTTTTTACAAAACTTTAACTTTTGCATTATGGTAACTTTTTGATAAAGTTATTTTAAAGCTTTTATCCAAATAACTTTTTTTTTCTTTTATAAAAATTCACTACAAACCGTTATTCTGAAACTTATTCAAAAAAGGTTTTTACGGAAAAAGTAAGTAATACATTTTTTTTTGTATACTTTATTCAATTACACAAAAAAATATTTTGTAAATATATTACGATTTTTGAACTACAATATAAAATAACTTGTAACAATGTAAAATTAGTATAATTATTACATTCATTTCACATTGTTTAGGTTATTTTATAATAGTTTTACTATAAACCTGGATCTTTATTACAAAAAAGTTCCTTAGATCTTTTATTTTAAGAACTTTTTTCCTAAAAGTTTTCACATAAACTGCTGAAATGGAGCTTTTTGAAAAAGTTTATTAATCGTTTCAATTCCTGGCTACAATACATCTCTAATTTTATCTAATTTATTTTTAATTAAAAATATTAAAGTTTATGTTCAAACTCATACTATGATCTTTAACGATTTTGATAATATCCCCCCCCCCGTTTTAATATGTATTGTTTTTTATTGATTCCTTAGCTAATATTTCTAGTGAACGTCTCTTATAATACATATTTTGACTTCAGAATAGATATATTTATGTAAAAATATTTTTTAGATGAAAACGCCAAAATAAAAATATAACGTTGTAAAAATATAGAAAAACGTGATCATGAAATTATTAACTGAGACATATTCTACAACCCAACTAAAACAGTAATTCACACGATAAAAAATTGTTAGATATTGCATTTCACTAAATTCTGATGAACCCATTGGCATTTCTAGACACGTGTCCTCTCTTCAGGAAAAGCAGCCATTCCAATTTTTAAAGTTAAATTCAAATTGTCAACTCCAACGTTAAATTTGAAATCGTCTTCATTAGGGGCATCCTAAAAATATACATGTGTAGCCAGCCAGCTTCCTCTGAAATGCGTCCAACATACTCTTCCAATACCTTTTCACAGTTTATAACTGATTTGACATCCAGCTTTGAATAATGAAATATTAAAAATTATGAACCTTTGTTTTCTTTATAAAGTTTGTTAAGTGGGATAAAAATTGTATTTAAAAATGGAGAAATTGTAAATAAGTTTGAATGTGTTTTAATTTATTATTATTATTTTTTTATTTTTTTTATTTTTATTTTAGTTTTTATCTAATGTTGTATCATGTTTGATTTATTCGGTTACTCCAAGTTTTATTTTATTTTATTTTCTTATAATCTTGTTGTTCTTTTATTGTATATATGGTATGATTGTACTTCATTCATCATAAATACTCAATGCCCTTAATTGAGGCAAAATGTACTTTTTTCTCAATAAAAATTGTCCATCAAAAAAAAAAAAAAAAAGAAAAAAAAAGGAGAAATCTCACTTATTGCATGTACAAAAAAATAAAATTCTTAGATGGAAAACATTCATTATATATGTTTACATCATTTTTATAAAGTATAATACAGGTATGTATGTTTTTTTTTTAAATTTACTTATCTTTAACTTATTCTATTTTATTTATTGTAGCTTGATAGATAGAAAATAAACTTTATTCTGGAACAAGGTCATTTAAGAATAACAATTATGCACAAAACAGAAAACTATATTAATAAAAATTAAAGTATATATACAACATCTTCAGTCTATAAAGTATATTGTATATAATTTTTTATTATTATTTAGTTGTTTTTTTTTTTTGTACATATAATGTGAATGTGAACTCCCTATAACCATTGTATGGCCTAGATATGTATTTTTCCTTTTTTCTCCTATATTCAATTACCAAATTCTTTTCAAAAGTTATATTTAGCATTTTTTCATGACTCCTAATAATGAGAAATAGTTATTATTTATAATAAACCAAATTAAAGATACTTTAGATGAAGAAAAAAGAATTTTGGGATTTCACAAAGGGAAAATTCATCAAATTATTCACTAATTTATTTTTTTTTATAGTTACGTGACAATTTTTCGGTAGAACGGACGTTGATAACTAATTATTACTTTCACGTACCTATATATGTGATATATAGTAAGGGAAAGTTTTGCGATCGTGAAAATTGCCGAATCTGAGTTTTCAACGGAAATTCACGTTGTGAGGTACCCTGAGTCCAAATAACCAAGTCCCGCAAAATGGTCTGTGTGTATGTTAGCAGTCTACCTCGAAAACGACTACAAGTACGATAAAAAGTCGTACGAAACTGATATTACGTATTTAAGATAGGTATATGTGTTAGATGTCCTGGCAACTTTTTCCCGGCTAACCGGAAGTGCCACTTTATATCAACGCTCAAACACATTTTTATAATTTTCTCAAAAACGGCTCTAACGATTTTGATTAAATTTGGTGTATCATAGTATAATGAAATGGTTTTTAATACAAACCAGGTCTCATCCCCATTGATGTCACTTTACAGGTCTTAAATGCCCGATGTTCATATACGTTTTCCTGTAAAGTACCTTTAATATGGTTCATTTTAAATAATGAATCATCTCACATTATTTAGAGTTACGAAAAAAATGCTAAATAGAACTTTTGAAAGAATTTGACAATTGAATAAAGTAGTAAAAAATAGAAATGTTTATCCAGGTCGAAAAAGAATCTTCGGAAATACTAGTCAGAAGGTATACGTATAATATATCGTTGGAAAGCATAGAATAAAAAAATAAAATAAAATAAAAACAATATCTAATATAGAAATTGGTTGAAGGCAACGGGGAGTGGCGATAAAATTATAAATAATAATTTTTGAAAACTAATATTATTTTACGTTAATCACATGTTTTCAAGGAAATTAAATTAAATTTACTAACTAAATGTATACTTTTAACATTTTTTTTATAGTTTTAAAATCCACCTAATAAAGACAATACCATTGTTTAAAAAACTATTTCATTGTATTTGTGTGAAAGAAAGTAATTTGAAATATCAAATCATTTTGGTGTCTCAAGTTATTCAGTGAAATCCAGTGAATGTTTTATAAAATTATGAAAGTATAATCGATTGTAGGAATTCAAATTGTTTATTAATTTAATGGCATAAACTTTTCATTAAGTGTTCATTACAATTTTTACACATACTTTTCTACGGCCAAAGCGCTTCGTGAAATAAAATATGATTTTATTGTCATACAGTGGGCTGTACTTTGAGTTATTCTAAATTGATTAGAAATATCACGCACCCTAATATTAGGATTATTTCTCATTGTCTATTGTACAATATTTTCATTCCGAGGTCTCCTGCGACGCCGCAAGTAAAGCTTTCCTGCCCTTGCATTTCTAACGATCCTTAGTGTTGTTTTATGAGATAGTGTTGTTCTCCCTTTGTGGATAGAGCCTGACATAACATGAAGCCGATCGGGAAATACTCCCAGGGACGGAACTAGGGAGGGGCAAAGGAGGTATACAATTAGTATTTACATCATTAAAGTTAACATTTATATAATATAATATACATATAATTAAACCTGGATATATATATATATGTGTGTGTATCTCATTTTTTTGTTTGTTTCTTCTAGTATTGCGGTCGAAATTCCTTTACTCGATAATTGACTTCAAGGAACCAAAAACATATCATTTTTGTATAATTTTTTCCACAAATTCAATTAAAATA